AGAGATAAAGTACAGGCCATACTTACTGTGTAACATATCAAAATTGTAAGCCTTCTTGTTGTCAAGTTAGCATTATTAGTAAATTTGTGAAAGTGTGAATTCATAAATGATTTTCATCAGGCGGGTTGGGTAGGGGACTACACTACACTACACTTTCTGTTAAGCATATCTATGTTCTCACTATGTTTCCTTGATGTATATGAGACGTTTAGTTTTGACACTGAACGTTTAATATATATTTCAGTAGATCTTTATGTCTTTCGGTTGATATGATAAAGTAACGTCAATGAAAAAATATATTAGCATTGAATGAATCAGGGTGGAATATTAGTGCCGATGTTTGAAAAAGGGACTTTTTCACTATATTTTCGGAAAATACGTTTGAAAGAGACGTGTCTGTGACGAAAATACACCAGTGACTAACAATACTTATTAATTGATTCACTTTGTAATAGCTGTCCATGTCAAAAAACATTGGCATTCTGTTAATGTGTATTTAATTATTTTAGGTGTCAGAGATCTACACGTTTTTGTCACATTTATCCTGTTTTACACACGGCTACTGAGACGTGTTAGATCATATACAACGAGAGGTTTATAAGGTCAGTGTCGGGTCAACATTTAGGATCAGCGCGTTTGTGTGCCATGTTATAACTGCATAACCAGTCGTAATCACCTGATGGACAGGTATGTAGCTCATATCAAATAAGGCAGGTATTGTGTTGTAGCTTCAGGGGACATTTACATCGCTCAGTGCTATGACGCCTGTGGCATATTAGGGCAGTAAGCATTGTCATAGATTATCAGATTCGATACTTCAGTGGTATTGAAGCAATCACGTTAACTGAAGAATGTTGATTAATTTCAAATTTTATTTCCTTCATCAACCTTTAGTAGAAAATATCTTCTGAAAAGTTTTTTAGAGACTTGACTTGTTCTTTTTATCCCAGCAAGAACCGAGTGGTCAATTTATAATAATATTCTGTTCTAATGCAGAATGACGACAAACTACCCTTTTTTCCTAAGTATTAAAAGGCTAATAATTAAAGAAACGAATGAGGTATACTAAACTGTTCGTTTAAAATATGATTAAGAACAAAATGAATATTAATGCCCGTTTAGTATCTAGAATCTCGGAAACTCGATACATAAGTCTTGATCTCCTAGATCTTACAATCAATATTAAATAATAAGATGTTTATACCTACTACAATTGGCCTGACTAGGGTTTTGTCCTAGGACCATTAACTCCGTACATTGAATTTAGGTCTTTTAAAACATTTTACGATAAACATGCAGTTTGTTAACCTATCTTCCAAGTATGGCATTTCAATATAAAGTTTTATCATAGTAACCATTGTGTGAAGTCACCGTTCACTTTCCTTATTTTGACAGGGGACATCAACATCGGTATCCCACGTTAAATACTTGCTTAAATTATTGTTTGTTCTCTTGTGTTTAAGAGAGTTGTTTTCTTTTGTGTAGTTTAAGCGTTCCATTAGAGTGTTTCCAACAGAGTTCATTCGAGTTCTGTCTTAGATTGATCGTTCTAGAACATTACATTATTGTATTTTTCTCGACGCCATGAAATTCTTGTTCATGATTCATGAAACTTGTATGCCTCGAGGTTTTTCATTTGCAGTACACATTGCGTAGCTGCATTGTTGATGCTGTTATTTTGTTAATTACGTTGTTCACAAGATTTATTAGTGATTCAGTCATACCATGTACGTCATTGTATGTATAGTTATTATTTATATGTGTTGGTTTCGCAGATTAAACTTTAAAGATACGCCAATCCAGATACAATATGACCGGGCTATGTTATTTTGTTGGATAGCAATAACATGCTACTAACACAGTTGAGCTTCTTAATTATATCGTTTGTTCATAATGCGTGCTAGAATTATTAGGAATAAAGTCAATTTTACACACCAAAAACAGACAGATAATTATGTGACTGTGCATGACAATGTTAATTTGCGTTTTAGGGAAAGGGTTAAATTGTTCTGAAAATTTTAAATTGTTTAATTGTAATAAAATGTGTTAAAAGAACTAACAAGATTGTTGTTATCAAAGGCTTATGATCATAACTAACTCTGTTTTATTGTTCATTATACATGTGATATGAAAGGCATCATCTTTAAATAAGTACTTCAAAAGAGGCATCCTTATAACATAACGCCTACATATTGTACTGTGGGCGTAGAGACGGCTAGGTATTTATATGTTACCAACATCATTGAAATGTAGATCATTACAAAACCATAATGTAAAGAAAGCATTACTACTTTTCATATTGATTCAAGGAAACTGGAGGACATTATGTTTAACTATGAACGAAAATAGGTCTGTAAAAGAGGTCTTACAATAACTATAACAAGGAGAGGTTTATTTTCTAGCGGTTAATACTTTCACACTAGACCTCCATTAATATTATGTAATAGCTCCTGTCAGCCGCATTGCCTGAGTTGGCCTGAGGCAAAGTGCAAGTGTAAATGGCGAGCACGTCTACCTTTGTCTTCCTCAAAACAATATTGCAAATGGACATGGTTTCGACTTTCAGCTTGCTGAAAAACATCGACATCGAATTTTAAATTTTGTATTATGTTATAATTTTAAAACATCTAGTCCGTTGCATGGACGGTGTTCCTACAGTTTAATATACAAGAGCAGAAAGTATTAGATTCTAGACAATGTCTGTTTCATTTTCATATTCTATTTCTGAATTTCTTTTTTCCAATTCGTGGCGTATAAATAAACAACAAATCCAAATTCAGTTGCTACAAAATACGATGTTGAAAAAATTCTTGTACATTTTTGACTGAAACATTTGTGTTTTTATTGGTGTTCCGATACTTTAGCCAGTGTCTAGTTTGTTTCGCCACGTTTACAAGTAACTATGACCCAGTGCTGTTCTTCTGGTCGGCGTTTCACTTCAATATTTTAATAGTTTTTGAAAGACTATACAAAGTCCAAAAGTGTACGCCCAACACTCCTTTGCAATCACGACCATTGTAGATCTAAGATTGATTTTACGGTCATTTGATGCCAATTTCTCAGTACGTTTTGAATATTTCAACATTTAGGTAATAATTTTTTTGCATTCAACGCGCTATTTTTCACAGATTTTGTGGTATTTTCTACATACTTAATTATACTATCTTTAACTCTTATATTCGGAAAATACAATCCAGTGAGCTGAGTTTGGCAATCATTGTTTTCACTTTTTACCACGCAGTTTCATCAATGAAATTAAGACATATGTAGATGTGCTGTAAGTTTATAAATTTGTCGCGAGGTTTGCAAAACTCGGGAAGAACTTTGCCCCCTCTATTTTTTACCGCTTTCGTTCATTATGTATCATCCTTTTGTAATTTTATGCGGTGTTTATTCATATGCTAAACCTGATCTGGAAAAGGGCGGTAAAATAACCATCTTGGATTAATGGTGTCAAGGCTGATAGTGTTGAAAATTTGTTTCATCCTATTTGTTCCTTGCACTTTATACTTAAGTATGAGAATATAGAATATATGTTACTCTCCTTCACAGGAACGTAAATTTGTAAGGTCAAACATGCGCAATTGTGTCTGTCGTCATTAATACCTAAATTGTCATTCATGCCAGAAAACCTAAACACAAGCAAATACGTTTTACATCTATATATTATAAAAGTATATTGTTGTAGAATTCTCTTTCAGTGCTGATACGTAAACATGCACATACCGGGTCGAGATGTCCTGTAATCGAACTCACTGACATGAAAGTGGTTAACAATTCAAAACGTGTTTACCATTTTTTCTGTATCAGTAAAAGTATCTCACTTAGTGTTTCTCTCCTTATACGGCAGTTTCTGGTATCTCACTGTAAGGAAAATGCACCTGGAGTACTTTATCTCGAATTTTAATTTATAAAAGGAAAGTTAAAATCACTTATACGTGTAACGACCTGGCTAAGGTATTATTGCAAACTAATTACTAATATATGTTCAAGAAGTCTCTTTCCAGATAGCTGTCTCCATGTAGAACATCTTTACAATGTGACGTTATATTTCTTGCACCTGCCGATGACCATTATAATGATTAATATCCATCTCTGACGCCACATCTCTATATCATGTCTACCTGTGCGGCGAAAGGCTATTCTACTGTCAACGTACTTTCTGATGATGTCGTATTAAAAACCATGATGAAGAGATTTGGTGTTTCTGCTGATAAATATGGCACTAAGGTTCTATTTTAAAACTGCTACGTAAACAAAGTAGTAAATAAAATCTCCCAGTCACACTTTAATAACTACGGTCTGACCAAAGTTTAATTGGAAGTTTTCCGCATAAAAAGAGTTAATGAGAAATACCAGTCACTTCATGTCAATTTGTTGTATTAGAAAAGACAACGGTTCTGAAAATACGATTCTTCATAAGACAAGAGGTTAGATGCCTCATAGATATTAGTTCTTCAGAGGGATGAATCTCGGTAAACAATTTGTTGTCATTATTTTCTTGAATATGCTTTTACTGTCAAGTATAAAATTCCATACTTACAATTCTCCTTCTCGACGTCGTAGTTGATGCTACTGATAACTATAACAGATCAACAGAGGAGGACAAGTGTTCAGTTTTATACATTATTAATCCATGAAATTATTTTTTGCTTACTACACTTCAATTTCATCTATTTACTTTGGAAAAATAACATTTACCGTAGGACTAAGCTGATCTGGTTTTGACCAAGAGTGTACAATAAATATGTTCTGTAACGAAAGATGCCTGATGACCATGAAGGTGTGGGTGTTAAGAGGTTCACTGTCTTCATCATATTTATCATCACTGGGGCCAGTGACATTCTGTTTTTGATGTGACAACACAAATTTGGCTGGTGAATTTTCTGGATGGCTGCAGGGTTTTGACTCAGCAGTCACCACTGTGCAATATATTCCCTGGTATATTTCGAATTAAACGCTAGATATAACAGGAGCGAGGAGTTGATCACAGAACAACGATGAAGGTAACATTACGTTAAAACTTATATTTTGTGTTATATAACAAGACAAGCGTTTATAGGGATGTTTTAGAGCTCTTTCATTTTATAAGACCGAATGTGTATGCTTACTTATCATAGCTTTTGTATCACAAATAACACATTTCTAATACAATGCAATCAGACAACGTTATTATCTAAAAAAAAAGTACATCATCCTTATCTATTATTCTGAACGATGTTTAAAGGTCTGGTCAATGAATCTGTGGCATAAAGGATTTATCGATGAATAAAAGTTCATTTTTTATTGTTTCACGATAATACATGTACAATAAAATCCAGTCACTGAATTAAACATTGAATCACGTAAACGACAACAGTATAATACTCTCATTGTCTTTGCCTTGTTCTGTTTCAGGGCTGGTTGGTGATGTTACTGGCGCTGCCAGTTATCGCCGCTCAAGTAAAGATGAAGGCACCACCGAGTAAGTATTACAGGGGATTCCTTGTTGCTACCAAGCGGAAATTCATAGCAGAAAAAACTGCAATTATTGCCGAGTAGGTCGATGTAGAAAAAAAACTAGGGAAACTAATAGGTGATAAAGTAATTTTACTGGTTTAGAAATAGGCAAAGTTGACGATTACATGATGCCAAGAATAAGATTATTGATAATTTCACTAGAATGCCAGAGGGATTGATAAGAGAATCTTCCTTGTGTTAAGATTACTTATAAAGCCTAATAAAGCTGAGTATTCTTTTCACACTATAAAATGATAATTTTTAATCCTTTTCTCGTAAATTGGCACAAAGAATCGGTAAATATTAAAATAGTATGGTAAAAAACAGTTGTAGGATCGCACAACATTACATGATGTGTGATGTGCACACGATGTCTGCACGGAATTTTCTATCGCAAATCTGCGCACGATTCTATGTGCGATTTTATCGCACAGATGTGCGATTCAATCACGTTTCATATGGATTTAGAAATCACTTATGATTATGGAAAGTGTTTCATGTATTCTGAATAATGTATATATGAGCACAGTTACTTATGTTTCACATTTAAATCGTATACTTAAGATACATGTAGATATACTCTCATGGTTAATAGTGTCTTGTTTACAAAGTGTTGCACACAATACCAGTCTCAGTGTACATACCTCCATTATATATATTATAATGTAAATATAAGATGGACATCATGTTTTATCTCTACAATAAATCATCTAACGTTTTGAACTGCGAGAAAGGAAGTTCTATTTGCATCACATCTGTACTACTCTCATCGTTTTATAAAGAGAAAAGTCATGAAGTATACGCCACCCTATTGTACATTTGTTATAGTAGTTTTTGTTTTGATGCGTTGTGCGATACCTCAACTGTAATATTTTGCTATCATCGTACCGATCTATTTGGCGACATCATCGAAGTCTTTCGCGCCCACAATATTTCTACAAAGTAATGACTTACAGAGATGTCAGTCAAATGGGTGGTTTATCAGCTCATTTAAGAGTTGTCTACAACACTTAGATATCTCTACTCTCTGAATATCTACGATCTATCTAAAGGGTAAATGTTATTGTTAATGTAACGTTGGTTTTCTTCAGATTGTCTACAACCTGTCAAAGTCGGGCCTTGTATGGCTGCTATAACCAATTACTTTTATAACGTCACTTCCGGTCAGTGCGAGACGTTTACGTTCGGAGGATGTGCGGGCAATGCCAATAGATTCCAGAGTAAAGAGGAATGTGAGCGGAGATGTTCTTGTCACATGCCGCCTGATCCCGGCCCTTGTTACGCAAGCACTGAAAGGTGGTACTACAATGGACAAAAAGGTTGCTGTGAGCGTTTCATATTTGGAGGCTGTCAGCCAAATGGAAATAATTTCGTTTCAAAAAGAGCTTGCGAGCATACGTGTAACTGGAGCGTTCCTGGGAAACAGAAACCATTAGGCATAGAATGGGGGAGTGGTTACGACCGTAAGCTCGGAGAAATCGTTTACAAGAACTACGGTACTACGTACGGCGGAAGTGGTACGATTTGGTTGCATAATGAGATAGAGACAATGAAATCTGCTCCTACAACAGACAGTCAGATCATGGGTATCATCACAAGGACGGGAAGGCGGCAAGTGCCAGGAGTACAAACTAAACAGCATTACAAAATCATGATGAGTGGAGGTCAAGGCCAAGGGAGTATGTCTGGTGGAGCTGGCGGAATTGCTGGTAGTGAAAGTAGAGGGATGGTAAGTGGTGGAAGTGGAGGGATGATGAGTTCTGGAGGAGGTGGTGGTATGATGAGTTCCGGCGGAGGTGGTGGGATGATGACCTCTGGTGGGATGATGACCGGCGGAGGTGATGATATGATGACTTCCGGCAGAGGAGGTGGTGCAATGATGAGTTCTGGAGGAAGTGGCGGGATGATGACATCTGGCGGAGGTGGAGGTATGATGAGTTCCGGCGGAGGGGCTGGTATGATGGGTTCCGGCGGAAGTGGAGGTATGATGAGTTCCGGCGGAGGGGCTGGTATGATGAGCACTGGTGGGATGATGACCGGCGGAGGTGATGATATTATGACTTCCGGCAGAGGAGGTGGTGCAATGATTAGTCCTGGAGGAAGTGGCGGGATGATGACATCTGGCGGAGGTGGAGGTATGATGAGTTCCGGCGGAGGGGCTGGTATGATGGGTTCCGGCGGAAGTGGAGGTATGATGAGTTCCGGCGGAGGGGGTGGTATGATGAGCTCTGGTGGAGGAGGGAGATGGCAGACAGGGGGTGGGCAAGGAGGAGGCCAAGGCTTAACCTACATCCAAGTCTAAATATGTTGATGTGTCTCAATCCTGTAAGTGACGTTGTTAGATTGACCTGTTTCTCCGGATATGGGTAAATTAAATATGTGGATTAAAACTGAAACGTACTGATGCAGAATCTCCATTATGACGTAAACAAATGTGACTTTCTATAATAGAAATCTAATCTATGGATTATCCCTCCGTTTCTATGACACGCAATGATTGTTGATTTTGCTTTAAATAAACTTATGTTTTTGAAATGCTTGTCCTTTTCTTTATTATGATGAAATTGGTAAACATGTTGAGTGTCTAAAAGTTTAAACACTTTTACATATTCCCCCGTTATTAGGAAATGTATATATCATTAGGTAAAAAATACTTCCAGTACATTGTCTAGAAAAAGGTAGTTTTCCTTGATTAACTGATTCACCTCGATCTTCCTTTTTTATTCTGCTCTAAAATAACTTTTGTTTTAAGAGGAAACATTAAGTTTTGACCAATGAGGCTATCACTGACGTCTGCACACCACACGTTCTCTCATCTATTACAGTAGAAGTATAAAGCCAGCAGCGTTTTACTGTCACCCGACCGTGATGTACAACACACACTGAAAACACACCGTCCAAAACCCTGGTTAGAGTATATGTACAGAGACTGTCTTAGGTTGGACACCATCAATTAAAGTGTAAGATGACATTTTGTGTTTACTTCATGTCAACTAAACTGTACACGACCATTTACATTCCTCGGGTCATAGATTTGACTTTTTAACATTAAACATCAGTTAGCATGAAAATATACCCTTGTGGTACTCTTCTGTAATATAAATATTTGAAATACTGTGGACTTATCTGTAGTAGTTAACCTCTTCTGTTTGATGAAAGTTAGACATTCTTACATCAGATATCTCCTGAACATTGGCAAACAGATGCATGTCGTTTAAAATATATTGAACTGCAATGTTTTGATAATAGAACACAGTACTATCATGTGTTATGGCGATTTGATTGGTCAGTATTCTAACACGTGCCCTGGAATAAGTTTAGCTGAACCTGGGACATACAATTCACTTTGAAGTCGTCTGTCGTAATTTTATTTTTTTCAAAATACCATCTCCAACTCGTTAACTCGGCGCGACCATGGGGAAACCTCGAGATAAACGAGTACTCGATTAAAGTGAGTTCGAACGTTTTGGGTAAAGTTAGGCAGGAACCAAGGAAATGCTTCGAATTAAACGGGTCATCGAGTTATACGAGATTACGAGGTTCGACTTTAGTATTTTAATTAGATTCATATATAATGTTAATTAAACTTTTATTTCATGCTGTCGTTTCGTTTCATATGGCACCAAAGTAAGAGCAGCACACACCATCTTCCTGACTGTCAATGATTTCTTCGGTGTTCACCAATTCATATGAAATCAAGAATTTTCAATAGTAAATCCCTAAATAGAGGTTTGGTTAACCTATGTATTTAATTCACAATTTATACAAAACCAAAAAGACGTCATAATGATATTCTAATAAGACATGTCTATTGAAAAACTAGTGATCGTAGTGAACCTATATTCAGGATATTATCAATATCAATAGAATTACAAAAAAATGTATATATATAGTAACTATTCAAAGTGTTGTCATTGCATTTTACTGTTTATACAATGTTCGACCTTGTTTTCCTGGTTTCTCATCACGTTGGATAAAGGATCTTTGCCTCGGTAAAAATAATTGAAATATTTTGAACGGGACGCGCAGGTGACAGTATTCAATTACTGTAAGAATAGCCATTCGGCGGGGTTTCTATTTTGCAATAAACCTAAAGATAGTTTGAAATTGTGAAAATGAGATACATCGAAAGTATAAAGGAATAGATATTATACATGTAGATAAGGGGGCAATTTCAAGGACTGATTGATAAGTTATGTAAGAGTTTGGCTTTTCATGGACAAATTGCATCATTTTTCAACATAATCCCTTTCAGTAACTATACACTTTTGCCAGATATGTTTAACGGCCTAAATGCCACTTTTTAAATAAGTCCTTTTCTTGACCGTTTAGCTAGTTCTTCACTAGATGTATGACGTCATCATCTGACGTGGCATATTCCAATTTTGGAAATAGACGAACGTCTGATGGAGCGAGAGCAGACGAATAAGGCGAAAGTTCAATCAATTTAAAGCAATAATCGTTAATGGCAGTCACGTAAGTGTCAGACTTGTGAACAAAGACATTTGCCTGGTGGAATAACACCTTTACCGAGTTTCTCGCGTCGCTAAGAAGTGATGCATAATACGTGCCATTGATTGCTTGTCTATTTTTGCAGATAATACACTTTCAGAATACCATTAGCATCCCAGAAAACCGAGGCCATAACCTTTTTAGCTGATGGAACAGTCTTTGCCTTCTTTGGCGGGGGTGAACCAGGGTGCTTCAGTTGTTTAGACTGTTGTTTGGCCTCTGGGGTGAAATGATGGACCCATGTTGCATCCATAGTTACCAACCTCTGCAGATAATTATCAGGATTTTGTTCTATAATGTTCAGATTAGCACGCTACAAAGTCCTGGTGTGCTTCAGTTAGAAATCCTGGTACCCAACGTGCTGGAAGCTTTCTCATTGCAAGATCTTCCGTAAGAAAGGACTACTCTTTCCTGTGAAATCCCAGCTGTGCCTTAATCTCCTTAATAATTTAGCCATAATATTATCAAGAACTTCATTGAACATTTCTGGGGTAGCAACAGTGATAGTTCTTCCAAGACGGGAGTTGTCCTAAAAGCTAAATCGAACCATCGGTAAAAAAATGTTGTTTATGTGCTTTGTTTATTACCAAATTATCCATATCTGTTAATTATGAAAAAGTGAACAGTTGCAGCCCTGCCTTACAAAGGAAAGCAGCAGATAATACCTGTCACATATGTCAAAAGTCTTATTAACGCCACAAAAACATGACATAACACCTGGAAGGGAATATGATATTCTTTAACAAATGACTTCGCCTAATGTTAATGTTAGTATGGATGACAGATGGAAATGGATAAGTCCACTGATGGTTGTAGAACTTCACATTAGCACACATTATTACGGAATATTCATTAAACACTGACTAATACCTGTTTGTTCTGAAACTTAAATCTTCTTTTTTCTGGATTTAATGTTATGGTTAGTTAATGATCAATAACCGCCTTTTGTTAACATAAAAATATTACAGAAGAAGGATCTCAGATAGGCGACAATCCAACTACTGGGTTACACTGTGACAAATCGTATAAGTGTACTATACATGTTTGTAACGCATAATTTCGTAGCCTTAATTAATTTAGCCTTTATAACAGGTTTCTGTTAGCTGTTGCCCCTCTGCAGGATTGTGTCCTTTTTAACAGTTAACATAAAATTTCATACTTGTCAATGCTGGCAAGACTTGTAGTTTTAGAATAAATGTTTTGTATAAGTCGGTATATTCTAAAGTCTGATATCAAGGCGTGTATTGTGAAACATTTTGTTTGTCATCTAATTTGTTTCTTTTCTCTTGAGCGATTTTCAAAATCTGCAAATAAATAATTCCTAACCGAGAATGACGAGCTACTAACGCAATTCCTGTGCGTAATTATTTGGTGACGTACACATAATGTGTGAAGGACGTCCAAATTATATGAGTAGACATGAAGATAAATATTCCTAATGTGTATCGTCGCGGCCTGTAATGAATATAGGGTGAGCTACGACCAGTGGATTTGCTAAATCATAAATGTCGTTTTTCTTAACAGTGTGTATGTTGTGGTTGGGCAACATCCACTTGTTCTCTACTTTATGTTTCATGTTGCCGCGTAGAGGGTCATGACTGTCCTCGGTCACGTTTTATTACCCGCGTTCAGGTCAGTTTACATCATCGCCAATGTCAATTACATTAATGTCAATTAAATACAACGTTTATGTAGATTGCCGATAGATATTGAACTAAAACGTCTGAATGCCATTATCTAGCTTTGTCCAGACTTCTTCTCAGAGATAGATAAGTATAAGTTAATGTTTACCTCAAATACAGTAAAATGTAAATAAAGTGTCTGCTATGTAACATCCAATGTTCACGTACATGTATGATATAACATTAGTTGATTTCGTACATATTTCTGGGCCACAGACTATCATTACAGAAAATAAGTTAGTAAGTTTTTATATCATACCATTTTTTATTTTTACATGGAATCTACGAAAATTTGCACTTGAAGAGATTATTACTTTTTAAAATTGATTGAGAATAAGGCTAGTCTACGTGATAAATTGAAACTGACGAGCAATAATTGAGTGCGAAACTAACGTTATAAGTTTATGAAATTCTTTCGACAGGAAAGAAACCTTACGCGTAATTATCTAAGATTGAATTTTTTCTGGCAATAATATCGATCTAATATGTTAGCATTTAATATCAGTTATGTACAATATCTTTAATCAATGTTAATGTTTAATGTTTAGTTATTTTTGTGTAAATTGTTTTTTTACCGTGTGAGTTACCCATAAAGATTACAAATGACATGCATTAGTATGTTTCACACATCCCTAATCTACAATTACTTTGTAGAATGCTTATGACAAGTGAAATTAATATACATTTGTTGACATGAATACTTAAACGAAAAAACAAAGCAAATGTTTCACAACGTTATCCAACATAAACAACTTTATCAAAATTTTGATACAGCTTGTACCCATTTGTGGTTTGTTCTGTTAGAAGTGTTGTTGTCCAGTAGACAGTTCGTTACATCTGACGTGATTGAGGGTAGGACACTGCTGTCATATCCTAATACGAACATATTTATAATACCAATCCGGACAGTTCCGCGCCACTCACTGCCTGTCATTTTCGCATTTAATATGCATATCCGTCATGTATGGTATTACGCATGATCCGGATATTTCGAACTGCGCGGGCCGTAGTTTACCATTCCCCTTGTGGCAAGCAAAAGGCTGACTTGTTCCGCTTTAAGTAGAGGTAGTTTTACTTTTAGTTCAGTAATTGTTTTCATGGATCTGTAGCGCTGCAATCCATATGTTTACGGTAAGTATAAATTTTCTTCCTTTAGAATAATGTTAATTTTCTTATTTGAGAATAAATATTTAGATTGAATAATCAGATCAACAGAATTTTTTTTTTTTTTAAAGATAACTTTATTGATATGACCATATTACATCTAAAACCGGATTTTAAGTTCCGGAATTTTGAAATTATGTGAAGCAAAAAAAGTAAGGACAATGATTTTTATCAAAACTCTTTTTTTCAAATCAGCCTTAGTTTAATAGATATTTAATATATATTTTTGTTCTAACAACGCAAAATTAACACGAATAAAATGAAGATATATTCAAGCAGTTTTCAGTTCAGTGAAAATAAGTTTGATTTTTTGAGATATCATAATGACGGTTTTTTTTTAAATATTACATTCCGAATTGAAATAGAAAGGTCGCTTATTGAATAAAAGGACCCAGCAATGCATTAGCAGTGTAAAACGTAGTTAAATGATTTTTCCCGTAATACCACTTGTTATTTATTATAGAACACTTCAGGTAGTTTCAACAGTATTCTTATTTGATAATTTAACGACACATATTTAACGTACATATGACGGACACATGTGATGCTGAGCGGTGAACATATTCCAGTATGCATGATATTAATACATTAGTAATTATGCTAAATTACAGGAACAATGTACAACAAAACGTATTTTAATCCGTTTATACCGATTGTAAAAAAAAACTTCTTTATCGAAGCGTTTTTGGTGTTGCTTTAAAGTTGATTTATTCAATACATCTGTTCATGATACTGGAAATATAACCTCTTTAGAGTTAACGTCGATAAGAATGTATCTTGTAATTGTGGTCACCCTTTGTGAGGATGTCTTTCACTATTTTATTGAATGCCAACGTTTGTCAAACGAAAGACGTATTTAGATAATACTAGCAACGTTGCGTCTGTGGACCTCATTCTTAGATCTGTACAAAAATATATTAAATCAAGCAAAATATTTTGATGTCAAATTGTAACAAATCGTAAAATGTTTATTGGGAGAAGGCGTTGATAAGTTGCAATAACTAGTGCTTAATACCTTGTCTATCTTTTGATAATGGATATGCTTAAACTAAAACCGGAAATACATATTCCGGAATTCCTTCGAATATGTTTGTCACCTTCAACAGAAATATTCAAACGGAAAACTGACATATGTACAATTATTCTAAAACAATATAGAGTTATCGAAAACCAAATAACATTAACCGTAAATAAGAAGTGCATTCCTTCAGTATCGTGTTTTTTTTTTTTTTTTTTTGTTAAAAAAATCCCATCTTTATCGGTATATCTTATGTATGACACTTTCTTTATATCCCCTGTGTATACGTGGATATCATCACAATCGCAAACGTCCTTATTAACAAGACCCTTGTAAGATATATTAAATGGTACTAATGATAAGAAACCTATAGCCATGATTAATGTCCTATTTGTTGTTATGTTGTTTGTAATCAAATTTTATAATCATTATTACCGTAATCGCATTGCTTCCGACAGTGTTATTTATTTATTACTTATTTATCAATTTATAATTTTTTATCCATTGATATTATATCAGATGCCAGTTTGGATTTGAGCATTCATGGTTTTTGGATCTATCATTTAGCTTATGTACGAAAGTATTCTACAAAATTGCAAAGCAGTCAAAATCAACCTCGGCATCTCACTCAGTCATCTGTAGTGATCACGCATGACATAAAGTTATTTGGGCGATATTGCGCTTGTTAAACTAGCAGAACATACTAAGAGGTTACTTTGACCTTCAGTATATGTAATACTTATTCATATTCCGTAACCAGAACAGCCTATAACTTGGTAATTCATAATCTTGCTTTATCCGTCAGTATTTGTCTGCGATTGTCATCTTACCATAAAATACACCTATTGATATAAGTTATTATAAGCATCGACGCGACATCTTTATTTGTATTTTATGATTGGCGTAAGTGTTGCCTTTTGGCATTTCAGATGAGTCCTCAGGTTGTTGGCCTTTTGCTTGTGACCTTTTTAGCCTTGGTCAAGACGACACATGCACAGGCTCATGTACATAATAATTTCGTTGGACAAGGGGGTATGCTTGATCATGGTGAGTAAATGGAAGGTTGATTAAAATATTAAGTTGTCAAATTCCAACAAGTGATATTGGTAAAAATCTAAATACCTTTCGTTCGAACATAGGAACGCATTTAAATGTCCAAATACAAATAAGAAACAATTTAAACATTTATTCTGTAATAAATGAAATGATTATATATATATATGCATATGAACTTCATCATTTACTTTATTGCAAGTCTGTATCACTACCACATGTGACCTGATATGTCCAAGAACCTGAAATAGGAAATGAATATCGTGCACATGAATGAAATGCATTCAAAATCCCATTCAATCGAGCTCTTCATTTCTTAGTAAGCAATGAAAGAACAGAGTCACTAATACATATTGTACCTTAATAATTCATATCTCGCGTAGCCACGACGTAGCTCTTTTGCCTTCATAAAAAACCAAATTATCCAACCACCTCTTGTCATATACATGCATGTGAACAATGACTCAAGACACCACAAACACAATAAAAAAAAATGTGACTTTCCCATGTCCTACTTTAAAATTCCCTGCGGCCTTATTTTTACGAATGGCGTGCGCAGTAATTTCATCTTTTTCATCTGTCTGAAAAGTCACACAAATAAGTCACATTTTAGTTCTCTCTGTTTTGTGCGTGTGTGTTTGTGTGTGTGGTGTCTTGAGTGATATTACAAGAAGTCGTTGAATAAATTGGTTTATAAATGATAAGGCGTTCCTGAAGAGTAAACGTCCACTACTTCAGCGACGTTGTATTTTTTCCAAAATAAAAGAAACCTTAGTTAAACAGCCAAACCATAAGAACTACTAGGGAGCCAAATAACGTTTCTTTCCACACATATCAGAACGTGTACCGTAAGACTTGCTCGTAATCTTCACGAACCTGCACGTATGTGCTTTAAGCTGTCTGTTGTAAAGAAACGAAATATGAATATCCCAGTATCCAAGGCAAAGATTCAAAAGCTATATTGAAGTTTTCCGATATTTCATCATAGTATACAAATGTACTTATCATTGAATGTTTAGCATGTAATAATGTTTACACACCAAGATGAAACTAAAAGCAAAATTAGGCATCATAACGTTATCACTGAGGGATATAAGTTTTAAATGGAATTCGTGCTTGGCTTGACAAAATAAAGAGGAAGCCATCTACAAGTCGTAAACTTTAATTAATAGGATGTAAAACTTATGAAAGTGTATATAACGTTTGCCACTCATTATATTCCTAATTAATTAACACTCAGGAAACCTGTCTCAAAGCCATTTGGATTGTTTATTGCGTGACTTCTGACACATTCCCACTGTAAAACTGTCTGACACTGACTAATTCATTAAGTGTGTAAAGAAATGCATCATTTTAATCATAGATGATAACGAGGAATTCGTTTTTGTGTCTCAGATTTACATATTCTGTGCATTCATTATAATGAAAATAACTGGTTATATACGACTTCCTGCTTAAAATGCTATTTCTTGACAGAAAGACATATTTGCAGAGTTGAACAACAATGTTCTTGTCCATACGGTACCTTTGCATATTTGACACTAAAGAAATATACAAAAGACACGAAAGTAGATTGCACCTCAAAATTACGATTACATACTGCGTAGCTAAATATGAATTAAAATGCACTTCACTTTTTATAACAAGTGGTTTCCCTCAGTCATGCTTGAGGCCTTGAATATTGCAATTTAGTGAGTTACTTTGGAAAATATTCAATAAGGAGCGATTTCAAAAGAACGTCACACACATATGTGTATTCTGAACTATGAAACATTTTAAAACCCTTTACAGACTTGTTTAAGGCGAGAGATGGGGACTTCAATCCATTATCATACTCTATATCTTGAGTCCACAGAGGATTGTACAAAAGACACAGATGAAAGTCAATCTTTAAATCATAATTCTTATTAGAGTAGATCCTTATAATTAATTTACCTTCGTCACACGCTGAAGAATTGCAATTGAAAATCTTATAATTAATAATAAACAAAAGAATACAAAAATGTTCGTTGATATAGATGTATAATCAGTGTTTTCCAGTAAGGAATTTATTCAAATGACTTGTTTACCTTTCGTCGATTTTATTGTTTCTTTCTACTTTACAGAGTGTTATGAACGACCCTACCAGACAACGTGTGTAGGTCCAATTCCTCGCTACTTCTTTAACGCCACAACCCAGAGTTGTGAACAGATAAACAATGTATGTGGGTATGGTGGATTCTTTAGTTTGCAACAATGTGACAATAAGTGCACATGCCGGCTTCCGCCTGCATCCGGAACCAACACGTGTCCCGGGGCAGTAGAAACGCAGCGTTTCTTTTTCCAGCAGAACGGAGACCTGTGTTTACCGTTTACATATTATGGCTGTGACGGTAACGGAAACAACTTTGCATCTACTTTTACCTGTACTATGCAATGTAATGCTCCAGCTGAAATTGAACAAGGCGACGTAATGAGAAGAATGGGTTATACTAGTGAACATGTGTTTGAAGCACAGGCTGGTTTATTCAATTATGGAGGTCCGCCTCCTCCTCCACCCCCACCCCCGAGTCCAAAAGCAAAACCAGCACTTCCTCCCCAACACATACCGATGCCCCATCCACCATCTCCGCCACTTCCGCCTCAACACCCACCGGTACCTCCAACGGTAGGTCATTTTGCCCCTCCAGCTCCATGGAACAACCCTCATTCGCCACCACACCGTCCCCAGTGGCATCCGTCGCCTCCACGTCCATCTTACACACCGCATATTAGATCCCCTCGACCTCCCCCAAATGGCCAACCACCGTTTGGTAGCCACCCAATGGCAAGACAGATGATACAGCCTCCCCCGCCACATGGTATGAGTAACAGAAGAAATCCTATCACACATTCAACAGGCAAATCTACCTTCAGTATGAACAATGTTCAGGATAAACTCAAAGCGTTTGCCAAAAATGCAATAAACAGACAAGCACCTCGGAAAAATGGAGGCGGTATGAATTGGAATCGTCCGAAGCAAGGGCAAATGAATCAAATGCGCCGGAATATCAACAGTCAAGTTACCATCCAGCCTACCCCAGTTGTATCAATGTCTCCGTTAACCAAGAGAAAGAACTGGCGAGGAAGAATGAACCAGGGTAATAAAGGAAAACAACGAGCACAAGGAAAAGTGGAAACTAATAAAATTGCTGTAAAACCAACTAGCGATCAAGGTATCACATCCGGGTCATTGAATCAGCCAAAGGTCAATCTCAAAAAAATCACGACAACCCAATCTAGTGTGGGATTCAATGGCGGCACGACTGATTACTATTACTACGATAACCAAATGGGCACTACGGCTGGTTATTACAACAGTGTTCAATCGGGATGGGGAACTATGAGGCGAGGCATGGGCAAGTAATTCGCTCCACTTACTGATTACGGACGAAGTTAATTTATCGTGACAAGTGTGTTCTTACCTCTAAGAGGGTAACCGTGTTGGTGTCTCTACCTTGACAGATTACGCACGTGTACAGAAATTCAACATTTGATTATAACCTATAACTGATACAATAATCGGTATAATCGTTCGAGATCTGTAGATATAAACATTATATATCTATCTTTCATCATTGAAACGATATATGTGAAACTTCAAAATTCAATAGAATGAATTAATCAATTCTGTTTCGTTTGAGGCACTTCAAACCGAAGTTGTCTTGAGTTAGTGATTGATATATTACATGGGGCAACTGGCAATGAACACCAATGTCACTGTATCAACGTAATGCATTTTGTGTATTCTAATGGTCCTCAAATCATCATTAGATACAGTGTGTGTAAGTTATTACATTTTATGCAATGAGCATATTATTAACACGTCTTGGTATTGGCTGTTTAATCATACAAATCAAACAATAACGGCAACATATGAGTAATATAAAATACATTGGTAAACGGTTTCACAAATTGTGAGAAACATCAGAAGGGTTATTTACAAATATACTTGGTGTCACGTATTGATGGAATGTTTGTTTGAAGTGTGCTGCTTTTTCTTGTAGTATGTTGCTTGTGTGTGTTTGTCGAGCTCTCAAAGAGTGCCGTATGGTGGGATGCATTTTCTGTTAACAATTAGCAAAACCATTTTAAAAGATTTAACAATCATTCCCCATCCTGGTAACACAAATGGATAATTGAGAGCAAAAGGATAGAAATGTTTGAAAGAATGAAATATTTGCTTAAGTATAATTTGGTAAAGGAATATAATGTAAATAATTATTGTTTTTTGTCATAGTTAAAACTAGCACGTTCGTCAGGTTTTAAATTTCTGAAACAAAAAAAGAAAATAAAGTTATTTATTTATAATTTGTGACAAAACAAAGAAATGTCCATATTGGATTTGTTACGAAAATTAAAATAAAATTCCTGTTGATTACGATGCTTTTTGTTTCTTTTACTTAACTTCTGTTTGTGTCAAGCCCTGTTGGATTCATTTTATTACTTCATCAGAAATATGAATTCGCTTGACAATTTGATTTGCCTGAAAATATATAGTCACAATAGCAAATGTTAAATATTCTCAATGTAGTATTCAAATATATAATGCTTCTAAAGTTTAAAGATGTGTACAAAACACAAACAGGTAAGTGCAATTTCACTTTTAAGTTTAAATGAGATCAGGCATTTGTCGAATATGTATTAAACTGCGTCAAACAGCTGTTTCGTTTATCTCGGACTATGCCAAGATTGCGGCGCTCGATGTCTCTGACTGTGAATAGTGCCCATAACACCACGTGTTTATGTGTCCTCAACCGGCCACAAAAAACAGGAAGAATTAAAAGTTCATTCGAGTTTGCTAGATGAACAATTTAACATCATATAGTGATTACATAAAAATTTATTTGGTCACTGGTAAAGATCGATAATTCTTGACACAATTGGGCTTTTACGTCCATTTCACACGACCTGGTGACACTACTTCAGAAAAGCATATTAGAAAATACATTTTATCAGTAAATAACGTTCTGTCATTACTAATTAGAACCTGCATGCATTTGTCTACGCATGGAATCCAAAGATCTGTAAATACAGTAGATTTTGTTGTAATTTTTCACAAAGTCAAACAAGTTCATGTCTTTGTAAATTCTATCGATCCCAATGCCGGGACTAATTGTGAAATTTCCAAAAAGTAGTTCGCGGCAATGAACTTTCGCGGATGGAATTCTTCCTTGTATATCAAAATTTTAAAGTGCATAAACATTATTGGTTTAAAGGTAGTGAAATTTAATCACATCATTCCGTGATGAAGCAAATGTTTCGCGTGTTTTTTTTTCTGAACGCAAAAATACCATGAGACGATGCGTTCATAGACATCTATTTCTTATACCAATAAAAATACCACTATGATACAGACACTTTTGAAATATGATCTAACTACACACTGACATTCCTGAAATGATCATCAATACTCGATAATTTTCTTAAGTAGATAATTGTCTACGGTATGGTACGGTCCCACATTTCATGCGGAAGGTTATGTCAGTCTGATCCCGTTGTCGCGGTAATGGCATCGCTTCAAAAACTACAGACATTATCATTTGACAGTTCAGACGCAGGTGATTACAAAGATTAGCCTAGCCTAGACCACATTACCCTGTCATAATGTATGTCTATCCTGCATATTGCACTCTTAAATCCAGTGGCGTGACTGCTTCGGCCGGTTTGGCACCTCGTGTCATTAAATTAAAACCTTCGAAAATACTTACCCCGTCAGCTTTCATGTGGGCATTCTTCCCATCTTTTTTCAGCATATAAAGACTTCAGGTTAACAAAACCAGAAAAAAAATTCCATAAAAATTAATTCAAACTTCGAATTAGAAAAGCGTTTCAAAATGACGAATTAAATTGCAAAATGCCGATGTCTTGGACTCGCTAATACTGTTAGGTACCTAGAAAACATAGAAATAAGTAGTTTCCACTGAAATAATGTTATATTCTATTGAATAGAGAACTTGTGTTTTTATTCAAGACGTTTGATAAAGTAAGTTTGATAGAGCGAAATAGTGTCGACTGATTCATACGTGAAATTTTGATTCACACATTAAACTTTCCCTGATTATGTTGTCTGTGTCTGTTATACGGCTTGGCTTATACACTGTTTTAGGGTATCGTATGGGTCATCGTAGACTTGCGTACGGAATGAAAACTGAGACCAGTGACAACTGTGTGGCAGATGTCAGGATCACGCACACTAGCGTTAGGAACAGGTAGATGACAGTACAAAAAAAAGCAAATGTGAACGATAATTTATTTGACCCTTTGCGAATATTGACTTTAGGAAATTATATATTGATATAAAATTTTTATTGAAATATATTGTTTTCTCATTGGCATAGTTCTCTCACAGCATTGGGGGAAAATACATATGATAGCATAGTCTTATTACTCAGTCTTCCATTGCACTACTTTACATTGTCTGATTAGCAGTATCGCAGAGTATCATGTAGGATGATGAAACACTGAAACTAGGGTGTAAGACTATCTAAAAAGCTTAAGTAATAAACGGGAAGATATTAACGTGTATAATGAGAGTGAAAAAAAAAAAAAAAAGAGAAAGGAAAGAAAAATGCATTATATATCAGCAGTTAACATATCCCATTGACATATTTAGAAGATTATATAAGACACACAATTGAATAGCACCTTTTAATACAAAAGAGTTAAACAATAAATTTAACTGCATCATACAGCTGTTTCATCCTTCTAGGGCTCGACAGTGATACTACGTGACTAAATTTTAAAGTATAGGAGGTGACTGAGAGAAATAGAGGGTAATCGAAAAAAAAAGTCAAAATCTAGATGGGTAGGTGCACTCGACCCGTAATTCAATTAGTTTTAATATTTCTGATAATTTTGGAGCAACATCAAGCAATTATGGATATTCTGAACCGTGTGAATCGAATGAATTCAAACGTGGCATGCAGGTTACTGCCAACTTCAGGGACTGATTCTCCACCACCAGTGTCTTCCACCTGCCATTTCGAATATTGTACAAAAAACACACTCATTAATATCACCTTTTAATACAACTTTAGGTAAAATCATGTTAAATAAACCAGTCAAATTCTACATCTGATGTCAAGCACAGCGAAATTAACATAACTGATTTACCATGTTACCAATCAAAAAGTAAAAAAATCACTATCGTCCAGAAGATTGTACAAAGGACACACAAGTGAACATCTCCTTTTAATACAACGTTGTGTTAGATACAGCAGAGACATATTATACATCTCTGGATACAGTAGAACGAAAAAACAGGTAAACTGCAGCATGTAGCTGTTACGTCCTTCCAGGACTCGTTTATGATGTTGGGAGTCTAAAATTTTAAAGCCTTGGGGGCGACTGAGAAAAATCCTAAGTGATTGAAATAAATATACATCTTTGCCAATAGTACGTTTTTTGTGCTATACAATTAAAGCGGCTATTACCTTAGATTTCAACGTCGGGAAATAGAGATTTTGGCTTATACACGCGCCTATAACGTCAAATTTGTTGTTTTTGTACATATTTTCGGCGTTGGAACATTAAATATCTTGACTATTGTTTATAAACATGTTCACGCTCGGTTTATTACAAAGAAAGCCGAGTGGGTCACATGGCTTGTCACGTGACGAAATCATTTACTTTCACCTCAAAGAAAAATGGATTACGAGGAACAAACGCACGTGTTTCATGTATGACACTTGCTTCTGCGCCTTTCTGCTAATTCTCGTTTGCAGTAAATTATTCTACAGTGTTATAATATATGAATTTTACAATCAATCTTAGTAATTCGTTTTTTGTTGGCTTGCCGTGCGAGATTTGTCTATGTCAATCGCGGGCGCTAAACTAGTGGGGCCTCAAAGGGGGGAATTACAATCGGAAAAGAAAAAACTCATTGTTGAGAAATGCACAGGAATTGATACTGTGTCTGTACACATTAATAGGTATTGTTTACCATTCAACATGTGTCTATGTGTTTATTATGAAGGTTATGTTTATCACCACGGTCGTTATTCTCACAATAACACTAGTACCGTCATATTTTTACACTTAGAACGAATATCCCCAATTGGGTCCCACCTTGCAGTCAACAACAAACAAACGTTGTCAATAGTAAATTCAAGCGAATAACACAACTATTTTCATTTAACATTTATCAGATAACAATTTCAGTAGTGTTGATCATATATAATATGAACATATTCACGCGTCAAACACTGGATATTGGATTTTAATCAATGACAGGCGAATACGTTATAATCACATGGTTGACGTTAAGCTAACTAGCCAAGCAACAGCTTCGCAAATTCCGAATCTGAATTCAGTCCAAGATCCTCCTTCATCCTTCGCCATCTATCGATCACATGTTTGATATAA